ACGTGTATTTTAGTTTTTGTGGAATATTATCTAAGCGAACTCGCAAACTGATCACTGTAGGTTCCTTACGAACAACTGCTCTTCGTAACGTACAAATGATTTGGAGCATTTGTATTACAAACAAGTTGTTTGTATTACGAAGAGCCTGGTTTGTATTACAAACGAGGCTTTTCGTATTACGAATAGGGGGTGTTCGTAATATGAAGAAAAATCGTTCGTAATATGGCTGCTTTAGATCCTTTGTAAGTTACAAACAAATTCTTCGTAATACGAACACCGCTGTTTGTAAGGAACTAAGAGTGATCCAACGAGCCTACATGGGGTTCTGACCCGTGGTATTTTCAAAGAACATGCAAGTCAACGTCTTTTTCAGTGTTGTTACTTGTACTTCGAACCCTATCACATGAAGGCTCCGTCCATCGGAAATTTTACGGAGAATCCGATAGTGCCATCATCATATTGATCGACATGCGTCATTACGCAGGTTTAAGTGATGACTTTTTAAACAGTCCCCAAGACTGTCTCTACCAGAAGGATCCCCCCTTTCCTAGTTCTCTCTCTCTCTATTTTTATATGCAAGTCTCTGCTGGTGGCTGTAGTTATTTACATATCCTTCCCCCTCCCGAACACCCTCGAAATCCCGGAGGTACTTTTCGCCACGCCTTGCGATACTTTGCACACATCGCACATCTATATGCACGGGTAATGAGGAAGCCCCGGGCCTGCCGATTCCAGGCCAGGCGGACCAAAGCCCATCCGACCTGGGCTGGAAAGAAAACTTGACTGAGAGTGAAAAATATTTTTGTTAATTTACAGCCGTAATAATTGTTATCGACGTTTCAGAAAACGATGTTGAATTCACGATTGGCCTCGTAAATTTATGAACAGGCCTTAATGTTTATTGCTCGTCTAAAAATTCCTATGTAGAATTTTGTAATTCCACTCAAAAGGAAGACATAAAGGGGACTGGATGGTACCATCCGTCTCTTTCGTCTCTTTCGTCCTCGTTCAGCCTTTGGTGTCTCCCGGGCCGTGTGGGAGGCGTGGTGACCGCAGCACACAGCGAAAGGCGCTTTAGCCCGCCCACCCGCGGCTCGTGTGAGTGCAGGGCGTAGGGCCTGCGAGCCCGCGAGTCATGCAGGGAAGGGACTTCGCCTCGCACCGAAGAAGAGAAGATGATACTTTCGAAAATTTACTACATATTACATATACTGAAGTCGATGTTCATAAACTTCGGTGTTGGGTTGATGAATAAGTTCATTACTGGTAAGTCCGCCTAAATTGATTAACAGTTCGAAATAAGATCAGCAGTCGAAGTTCATCGAAATGCTTGTTTTGCCGAAGTTCAGCGAAGCTCAATGATAAACACACCGACGTTCAAGCCCACGGCACATTTTCCTCTCGTGCCACACCAGAAGAAGGCCACGGCGCGGCGTCTCGCTCCCGAATATGAATATATGAAAATGCGGCGGTAAACAGACGGGCGGACGAACGTGTGAGCTAATTGCGCAAACCTGGGCAAGGTGAGGATGCACTGCATGCGGCGCGAGGCGCATATCAGCTGCGGGCGCAGCCCACCGAGAAATAGTGGGGGAGGGGGGCGGAGCAGCACCAGTGCGAGCGGACAAACGCACACGGAAGGAGGGAGGATGACCTGGAGGCTCATTTTTGTTTTTGATAAGAAGCGGAGTTTGTGCAGCGGAGCGCGCCCACATAGAAAGGGGCAGCAGCAGGAACAGCGAAAATGGCCAAGAGGGCGTGGGCGCCGATAAGTGACAGCTGGCCGGGGAATCGCTGGTGAATGTCATTCGGCATGGAAGAGTCAAATCAAAAGGTAAGACTGAAGAATTACATAAGACGTCAGAGTATGGCGGTCCCTGTGCGTCAAACCGGTACCGAAAAGCCACGACAGCCAGCGGCGGCGGGCGGGTTTGTGGCAAACGAAAAGAGATACAAAAAAAATGCAAACACTCCTTAAAAATGCGAGGGGGAAAAAGACGCAGAAAAAGAGAAGCATTGAAAAATGAGTTGACAAACATGAACGGCCGGCGCGCGGTGCGCACACCTGGCAGCGATCCACCTGCCAGGGGCGCCACGCCCCGCCACGCCCCAGCTGGTGGCGCGGTGAGCGGCGCGAGGCAGTTTGCGAGGCGCGGCGCGCCTGGAGCGCAGAGGGTAGGCCGCCCACCGCACGGGCGCGCGCAGCGGGCGTGCAGGGTCTCCAGGCGGCCGGCAAGCTCCAGCGGCCGCCTGGAGACCTCAACGCACGCAGCGTGCCTCCTGAAGCACCTGCACGCCCACCACTCCTGCACGCAGCCCACCGCTCATCCCTGGCTTTGCATGAGTTCCAGGCGTCCCTCAGCTTCGGGGACCGGTGCCGAAGACCCCCACGCCCGTAGCGGGGAGCTTACTCCTGACTACTGCAGCACCTGCACGCCCACCACTCCTCCCCCGTACCAGAGGTGCCGCGGGCGAGCGAGTGTTTCGCGACGGGGGAATGTGCACTACTATTTCTTTTGCATAATGTGTGTTAAGGGTCGTTCTGGTCATCGTCCAACAGAGTGAATCTCAGAGAATAATCTTCCGCCTAGGCCCCGCGCGGCGGGGGCGGGCACCACGGGGACGTGGACCAGCAGCGGCGGCAGCCCCAGAGGCTCTGCGCTGACGTACGGCCTCGCGCGCCCCACCACGCCACACCACACCACCGCGCGCGGTCGGCGGCGTCGTCGCAAATGAGGCTGGGCCGCGTGAAGGATGCTGTTTTCGCGGTCGCGGGAGTTTTGACAGCTCTAGCGCCGCGCCACGCCCCGCCAGGCCGCGGGCGGGCGCCCGGGCGTGTGTCATCGCAGCCCGCCTTATGGTGGTTGCCTCATGTCGTCGTCGGCGCAGAGAGCGTTCAATTCGCTGCGGGCGGACGAGCGCATAGCGGCCGGCCGCCTCGCGGGTGGGCGGGGGGATGCAATTTCGAGATGCTAGAGGTGCTGTCCTGTCGCCTCACTGTACCACTCGAGCAGCAGCCCCGGTGATTGAGGTAAACAGCGGCCGCCGTGTAGCTGTTGTTGACGGGGACCCGTGAGCGCGCGGCCGCCTCAGCATCCGATGGTCGTGTACCGTGTCATCTCTCTGGCGAGGTCGTCGCGGCGCGTGGACCTTGTCGTCGCCTCGGGCCAGGGCGCGAGGACACGCGCACGCGCAGCCCCGACCGTCGCCGTCGAGGACCATGCAGCATGCCGTCGACGACGCGGGCCTCGTCGGGCACCACCGGTCGGTCGGTCGGCCGGCCGGCGGGCGCTCCCACGAGGTCTGCACGACGACGACAAGCCAGCCAGCTATTCTGGTCCGGGGCGGGCTGACGGCGGCGTCGCGGCGCTCCCGCTCCTCCCTGCCCTGGACGTGTTTACACGACCCCGACGGCCCGCCCGCGAGCTCCGCAGACAGACCGGCGCGCCGGGCGTGCTCGGGATTCCAGCGGCGACACGCGCTGGGCCCCGGCCCCCCGGCGGCCGCGGCGGTCCGCGCCAAGGCGGAGGAGACCACGACCACGGGCACCACCACCCGGCCCCGGGATGGTGGAGATCATTAGAGATTGGAAGAAGGTTTGAGACCCAGATAATGAAATATGCTCCCCACCACCCCAGGGTTGGGTATGAGATAGTCGCTAAGACCCAGACAGTGATGGCGGTCCATTAAATTCTACCGTTTTTGCCTCCCGCGCCGTCTGTGAAACAGCCCCCAGCACTACGCCCGTGAAAGTGTAAAGTCTGAACCACACTGCTGGTGCATGCAGACGTCGCGAACATCCACACCGCGGAGCGCAGCACTCACGCTGCTCAGGCTCACACTTTCGGCATGCCGCCGCGCCTGTCAGTTTGTCGAGTTGTTACACGATTTGATAGCGCCGGGCGGGTGCGGCTCGGCGTGGCGTGTCACGCGCCTCCTGCGCCTTCTTAATTTAGATAGTTTGGGTTCCTGCCCGGTCGGTCCGGCGCACGGCGGCGGCGGCGGCTGCTGCGCGGCGTCGGGCAAAAAGCAGCGGATAAGCGAGCAAAACCAACCCGAGCCGTTAGAAATTTCCACAGGTCTCCGCGAATTTTTGCCTTATCCACCACGACCACCACGACCACCACGGCCACCACCACCCTCACCACCTCCACCACCACCACTTCCAACCGCTCCACTTGCACCTGGCGCGCAAGAGGCCATCATTCGCAGTCCCATTACCGCACAGGATTTTCATTCCGTTTGTCGCGCGCGAAGGCGGCGGCTCGCGGCGCGGGGCAGCAGCGCCATTGTGCAAGAGTTATTCGCAGGGACCATGAATCTCTCTTACCTCCTCGGCGACGACCCTCGGCCGAGGTGGTGGCCGAGGCGGGTGTGGCCCCCACGCATGGCGGTCCGCCACCGCCACACGACGGGCCAGACCGAGACCTCCCCCGCGCGGACGGGGTGCACGACGCCAGTGGGCCGGCGGCGGCGGCGTCGCGGGCACCCTTGGGGGCGCCTTCAATCGCAAATTAAACAAGCTGCTCCCCTCTCGCGGAAACAATTAGCTGCATTAAAATACAGAGAGTATGGCGCGGCGGCAGCGGGGGGAGAGGAAAAGAAGGCACTCCTAATTGTCTCCACTTTGTCATCGAGTGTTGAATAAAGGCCGGTCTGCTCGCAGGGCCATTTGTGCCCGAATGTACGTTCGCACCCCGCCACGCACCGCCACGCCTTCGTCACGCCGCGCCGGGCCGCCGGGCCGCGCACGCACTCCTCCTCCTACAACGGGAGGCGCACGGAGACAATGCTGGCAGGGCGTCAAGCCTTTCCTTTCCCCCCCGCTGGCCGCCCGGCCCGAGGCGGCGAGCCCTTCAAAGAGCCTCTGCTCTACTGCTCTTTTATTTGGAAATGAGGCACATGAATGCCGGGCCATTGTGTGAGAGTTGGGTGTCGCTCGGGAGTGCGGCACCGCTCCTCGTCGAGGAGGAAGACAATCCCGGTGTGTGCTTGCTAACCTCGCGGTTGGTATTCCATTCTTGAAAGTACTCCATCCCCATGGCTCGGGGTCACTGGCACTGGCACAATAGTCCTGGCCGGTCGGCCTCTTGCACACACACACACACAAACACACAACTGCTCAATGCACTGCTCCCGTGCAACGGTCACTGGGCTCGATCGTGTCCGGGGCCATGCCGACGACGGCGGCTGCGGCCTTTTCGGCGCGACGCGGGGGGCGAGAAAAAAATATTAAAAGACCCTTCGCGACGAGGGGAAAAAGGGAAAGCTAAAACAACGACGCAGCGAAAGTGAACAAGTCTTTTTCGGAAGCGACAATAAACTCGAAACCGCGAATCGAAAGCGTGTGCGGAACGCGACGGAAAGCGCGACGCGGACGCGAAACTGAGACGGTGTGCCGCGAACGACACCGCCTCTGGACTGGCGGGCACCGCCCCGCCACGCCGCCCCGCAGCCGCACGGGGCCCTGGTGGTCCTACTCCTCCTCCCCTCTCGACCCCCTCCCTCCTCCCATCTCTCTCTCTTTCTCTGTCGTCTCTCTTCACACCAACATTTTCCCGGTTTCCTCCAAACCTTCCCCTCCTCGCGCCGCCGCCGCCGCCGCCGCGGGCGGCTGCTCTACCATAAATAACTCCATGTCTTATCCCCTTCCCTGCCACCCTCCCTCCTAGCCTCAGGAAGAAGGGGAAAAGGGGGAAGGGGGTTTAGGAGGGGCAGAAGAGTATCGGAGGAGAGGACCCTCCTCGGCCGGCCGGCGGGGTGCGGAGAGGAGAGCTCGTAGAGAGCCCCTCCCCACAACTAGCCGGGAGCCGCGGGCGGACCGCGGGACGCCACCACAACACCACACCCCGCCACAGCCTGGTTGACCATAGGACGCGCCCCTTCCCCTTCCTCGCCTTGCTTTCCTCCTGGCCGCAAAAGAGGCGGGGAGGCCGTCCAGTTTAAACTGTCCGACACAAGGAGTCGGCGTATGCTCTACTCTCAAGGGTTGGTAATTGTATTGAACTGATTGTTTGAGACGTCTATATCACGACGTTCCGATACCTTCATATAACTTTTTAAATAATTCAAAAACACCAGGGTTGCCACAAGAATGGAGAAGTGAAATTCCCTGACATTTCCCTGACTTTTCCAAGACAATTCCGTGAATTTCCCTGACAACAAGATTAGCAATCAGAACGCAATAAGCAAAGAGGGCCTTTTGCGAACACCTCTCCGAGTACCCAAAATAACGCTGCCGGCCGTTTTCCCCTGACACAGCGCTCAATTCCCTGACATTTCCCTGACTTCCCATAAGCATTTTGTTTTCCCTGACATTTCCCTGACTTCTCTGACTTCAAAAATGCCAGCTGTCCCCTTGAAAGATAAAAGTGAGGTTGTGAACTGAGAGGGCTCGACATGCTCCGAACGGAAACTGCTTTGAAACTGCCCCTACCCTAACTGATAAGTTATTGATATGTCATGCAGTTCCCCAAAACAATCGCAACAAAATGCGTGCGCCCGCTGAGAATTTATTTTAGACTGCAGACCGTAACAGGCCTCGAGGCGGCTAGTGTCAGGACAGCAGAGCAGCACGACGACAGTGTCGGTTCAGTGCACTTGCAGGCGAGTGCACCGGCCCGCAGTAACTATACACATCAGACACCCGCCACGATGTAGATCGGGCGCACCGCAGCGCAGCTGCGCAAGTGTCTCTACGGCCCGGGCCGGCCGGCCCGCACCCGCCGCCGCGCGCCGGCTCGGTTCACGGTCAAGACAGAGCGTTGCCAGCGCGTTTATGAGTGCCCCTACCCGCGCGAGTACCACCGCCTGCCGCCCTAAACCATCTCAGCTAGGGCTGTGCGGTTAACCGGTTAACCGATTGTCGATTTCGGTTAATCCACTAACCGGCTAACCGGTTATTTAAAATTTACGTAACCGATTAACCGAATAACCGCTATAACTGATTAACCGGACAACCGATTAATCGGTTACTCTTTGAAACCGGTTAAAACCGGTATCGATTTTCTGAACCGTGTGAGCGCTTCGAGGGGTCGTCAACTTCGATATTCCTCCGTACACGGACTGATATTACCTCAAATATTACACCAATATTAGCCATATTACTGTTAACATTACCTCGATATTACACTTTTTTTGTATTATGACGTCACAGCTTGAAAATTGGCTCAATATTACTAATATTATTTGTAATATTCAATATTCCTCCGTACACGGCCAAGGAGAGTTGACGACCCCTCGGAGCGCTTACGCAAAGCGCTCCAGCGCCGTCGCCGTCGCCTGTCAGTTGCGTCCAGTCTAGTCTGCAGTATAATTGCGTTATCACGCCCACAACGTTATTTCCGATTTTTATGAAAAAAATTAACCGGTTATTGTAAAAAAACCGTCATAACCGGTTACTCGGAAATAACCGGTTATTGCGGTATACATCTATAACCGGTTATTTTTGAGTAACCGATTAACCTAAAACAAAACCGGTTATTTCATTAACCGGTTTTTCGGTTACAAATCCATTAACCGCACAGCCCTAATCTCAGCACCCCTCGCGCGCGAGCGAAACGACCGCACCCCTGTAGTGTTAATCACCCAAAGGAAAAAAAAGGAGGCGGGGCGAGAAGGGTGAAGGTGAAGGTGGGCGCCCCGCAGACGTCAACGAAAGAAGGTCATAAAAGTACAGAACGACGAGGATGAAGTCACACGAGAGGCAAATTGAAGTGTTGAAGAGCATTTTGAAAAGCGGGAAGCAAAACAAGGTTTTCTACTGGCATATACGAAGGTTTCAGACCCGACTCGAGACAGACCCTCTCTGAGGTACTCCACAAAGTAACAAAGCTTTGGGAGCAGCAGGCCCATACGGGTTAACGAACCCGTGTCATAATCGAAAATTAAATTGGTGGCGAGCCAGGAGGCCAGTTTTTGTGCGGAAGCACAGCAGCTGGCTGTCACTATGCGACATATGCACGGACAGCTGGTCCTGTGCAGGTTACTCCCATTTTTTTGTTTATTTTTTTATTTTTCGTTGTGAAGGAAAGGAGGGTCGTCCACTCGTCCAGAACAATATGTATACAGGTTGCCTTTTACTACCGCTAGCTTTTCAAACACGCTACATTGTGCAGGCTTTTCGTGTGCAGTTAGATGCCGCGTTTACGGACGCGAGAGCAGAAACACACTGGTCGTACAGTAGCGTGCAGTCATTAGCGGTCTGTCAGTCATGAGGAAGTTCGCGACAGAACGGTTTTCTGAGAAGTTAATATTACTTTTCTATTCTAGCTCTACACCGTTAGAAAAGCCAATGCCATATTTTTATCTGACAAACTCCAGAAAATGTACAAACTTTCGTTTTACTAATTATTTTATGAAATGCTGGTACGAAGTACTAAATACTGGTACTCTTTATGGCATAGTTGAAATTCCAGTTAACATATGAATAACGGCCAAATGAATCTGTGATACTTATACTTTTTAGGTTTTTACAAATGAATGCTTACGTTAGTTGGTTATTACTGACCACTACTGCTACTATTACTAAACCCGTCAGTGGACGAAAAAAAAGCTAGCTACACATCTCCAGCAACACAATACAAAGGAGGACGCTTACGCTTGGTCATCACTATCATATCGAGGTCTCCTCCCTCGGCTCAACAAGACTCTTACTCTGCGTCCGTTCTCGCCGTCCCCCATGCTCGCCTTTCGCTTGTACGCTTCGAACAGTCGGCGCCTTACCTGCAAACACAAGACATATCATCAGCAAAGAGCCAAAGCAAGTAGCGTGCCAAGTGGGGCGGGGCGGAGGGGGAAGGG